TTTAAGGTATATTCAATATCCATTGACATCCACTAAATATATCAAAGTCTAGGCGCGAACGCAAACCATCGTGGATATCCACTAGATGTTATTTGATTTTGCTTACTAAGTATAGATGGCGATACCACTTTCGCTCGTACTCATGCTCAACCCGCCGTAATTGAGTTCGATCGAAATTTGTTTCCCAATAATCCCAATTAGACTCCATTAGAGACTGGAGTCGAGAATTTCCATTTATTGATGAAGAGTCCTAATAAGGATGACTTGCTCCTTAGTGGGCAAAATCAAAGGCAGAGTGTTGAAAATATTTTGATTCTTGAAAATATTTTTTCTCTATTTTCTTTCGTCGTTATTCAATAATCATTGGTTACTTATGAACCTCTACTAAAGATACCCATAAAATATTTTGCTGAATATCCGAATATCTTCTATATCCTGGGATATAGACGGACATTTGGTTGGATATCCATATTGGATATATTGAATATCCACAAAATATATTCTGTGGATATCTCTGGGATTTCTTGTATTGTCTGGAAGATACCCATTAGATATTTTGCTGGATATCCATTAGGATATCTTCTATATTCTGTATATAGACGGACATTTGGATATCCATATTAGATCCACGGAATATTTCTGATATCCTGTGGATATATTGGATATCCACAAAAGATATTCTGTGGATATCTCTAGGATTTGGTGTGTTTTCTGCGTAATAGGTACCTTTAGTAGAGGTTCATAAGTAACCAATGAATATATCCTATAGATGTTTAACATATCCAATGTACATCCATTATTTAATATATTTAAGATATCGAAAATTATATGCCTATAGGGTATCGTATTTAATGATTTATTAATTTTTTTTTGAAAGTTGAACAATAATTATATTTCAAAAAAAAATTAATGAAGCAATAAATACGACACCCTATAGACATATAATTTTCGATATCCTAAATAATGGATGTAAACTGGATATGTTAAACATCTACAGGATATACCTTGGTTACTTATGAACCTCTACTGAAGGTACCTATTAGATATTTTGCTGGATATCCATAGAATATCTCCTATATCTTGGATATAGACGGACATTTGGATATCCATATTAGATCCAGTGGATATATTGGATATCCACAAAAGATATTCTGTGGATATCTCTGCATGGGATTTCGTTTATTATCTGGGAGATACCCATTAGATATCTTCTATATCCTGGACATAGACGGACATTTGGATATTCATATTAGATCCACGGGATATTTATGATATCCTGTGAATATATTGGATATCCACAAAAGATATTCTGTGGATATATCTGGGTTTTTGTATGTTGTCTGGGAAACGTGCAGGTATCATTTTATTAAACATTACATACTCACTCTACCCCAAAGAGGTTAGAAAGGGTAGAGGTAACATAGGAAGCATTTGTCGCTGCGCGAATTTTGCCAAAACCGAAAAACTGGGTGGAAGGAGTAGGGAGATGTTCTGGGCCGGACTTAAATATTTGTATTGTAGTACCTAATTTTGGTGGGTAACTAAAAGATGAAAAATTATGAGACGTTTTTTTGACTTTATTTGCTAACACGATTCATGTATGATGAGGGCAATAACACTTTATAAATATATAACTAGCTAAGGGCCGATTCCACCGTTGTGTCAAACGAAGTTTAAATTATTAAACGAATATTAGAATGACATTGTTAATGTAAAAATGTCATTTTAAACTCCATTTAGTGATTTAAACTTCGTTTTTGTAAATATAAAAATGTCATTTTAATCTTCGTTTAGTATTTTAAACTTCGTTTAACAAAACGGTGAAATCTACCCTAAGTAAAAGTTTATAAAATTATTGCAACAAAATAGCTGTTAAGACAAAAAGTTATCGAAACAGCCAAAGTACTTTTTGCTCGAATTAAACAAAAGATTTTTTCTACGATAACACCAAAATAAAATAAATAATTAAATTTTATTAGAAATGGGTTACCTTTTCGTTCGTTATATTTTAAGTTTATTTGACATAGGCCTACTCTTCGAAGAGAAAAAATGTTTTTGTACTTATGTGCTGGTAATTATATTTGATTTAATTATTTACGGAAAATAACGTTTAATGAATTAAAATATTAGGAAGTCAATTAATAGTTATTTATGTAACCAGTTACGAAATGCCTTATTTTGTGTAACGAGTAAATATTTTTTCTAATTTTGACTTGATTATTTATAAAATTGTGTTAAAAATAATTCACCATCATTCTTCTGTAGGTACTTCCAATCAAATATTTTAGAATTGTTTGTTGTATTTGATTGCTCTACGACGTTTTTTTTTTTTCAATAGTAATAATAAAAATAAGGGACATGTGTAGTGTTTCCGATTTAATTTTTGACATTACCCGCGAGAAATTTGAAAAAAAACATTTTTACCCATTATCCTTAAAGGAGTACGTCAAAATTTTACCCCCAACATTTCTGGGCAGTTTTCAATAACGGTGTTATTTTAAAAATAAAACGCAATTTACAGCTTTTCTTTTTTTGTTTTCTTTTTTTGTTGTTAAACGTAATGTCATATTTTCAAATGTGAAATGTCACTATTTATTGCCGTTTTTCGGTATTTGGCTTTTTCGATTTTTTGTTTTTTGGATTTTTGGATTTTTCGATTTTTTATTTTTCTATTTTTAGATTTTAGATTTTTCGACTACTCGATTTTCGATTTCTCGATTTTTTGATTTCTCGATTTCACGATTTTTCGATTTTTCAACTTAAAAACCAAAAAAGAGGCAGATTTATATATTTTCGTTTCGTAACTGGGTGACATATTCAACTTTTCGTAATCAGTTGCATAATGTTCTACACTTGCTGCGATTACAAAATATTATATTGCTTTATATGTCAAAATTAGAGAAAATAACAGAATGTAAATTAAATGGATAGATCCCATATTAGCGAAATATTTGACGGAGCCCTAAACACATAAAACACAATTTAAAAAATGTATTTCAAATTTTTCTTTATTTTGACTCTCATTTTGACTTTCAATAGGTAAACATGATAAAAAATCGGCTTTATATTATGCTCCAATTTCACATATTCATTTTTTTAATTATAATTTGACAATATTACTGCCCATCCACGTAGTTTGTTGACTGAAAATTGGGGTATACATTTAGCTGGGTTAAAAATAGTTACCAGAGGTAAGTGATCTGTAACTAGGATAAAGAAATGTCCATATAAATATTCATTAATTTTATTTAAGCCAGCAATTATTGCAAGGACCTCTCTTTCAATTTGGGATTATTTCTGTTCGGACTTTGATAAGGTAGGTACGCGAAGCAGAAGCTACAGATTTCTCAATATTTTTTTCAAAAACATGACATCATGGCCCTTATTCCCACATTTGATGCATCTACGAATAATTTAATCGGTAACTCAGGCTGAAAATGCACAAGAGCATCATTTGTTTTAATTTATTTTTGATTTATTTCAAAGATTCCTTGCAAGAATTATCCCAAATCCATTTCACCCATAAAAAATAAAATAAAAAAAGTCCTAAAGCAAAATCATATCCTCCTTCCTGTTAGTGACTTAAAAAAATTACTTCCCAAAAAAACGGTCCTTAAGCCAGGTCTCTCCATTTTGTGGCGATAGTACTGTTTTTTTTTATTGTAATTATTTTCTTTGCGGAGCCCTCACAAAGACTTTGCGGAGCCCCAGGGCTCCGCGGAGCACACTTTGAGTAACACTCTTATAGAGAATTACTAAATAAATAGTTTTGAGAAAACTATTGAAACCAGTTGTGAAGTTTGAAACGAATAAATTAGCAATGAAATTGATATTTTTGTATTTGATTGTATGTTTCTTTTTTCACTTCCTAAAAAAAGATTCCCCATGAAACAAGAAATAGTAAACAGTTTTTAATAATAACCTTTATTTGCTACTTATAACATGTACCAATGACCAAGTCCGATTCTGTTTATTTTCAAATCAACAAATATGGACGTCGACAGAATCCTTAAAAATTAAATATCTCACCGAAATAAATGTAAGTTTCTTTTATCTTCGTCATATTTCGCAGGTTTATTATAAATAAAGCTTTTTACAACACATCTTGGCATTTTCAACGTTAATTTCCAAATTTTAAGTCACTAAAATACCAAATTAATTCTCGTTGACACATTAAATTTGGATGGACAACGCTCTGACATGTGATGTTCTCAACTGTGATTGGTGGGTGTGAATCATTTCGAAATGGGATTATGCGCAGTGTCTTATGTTCCATCTAAGGTTTGTATAATCTAAGCTCTACCCTCAATATATATTTATAAGACAATCTTATATTCAAAAAAAAAATAAGCTTAACTGTTCAGGAACAATGATTGTCACAACTATCCCACTCGTAATGGCAATATGTTATGTACAATTAGGCATGTATCTACTCTTTATAAACGTAGTCCTGAGTATGCAGGAATTCAATTATTTAATAAATTGCCAGCTGATATTAAAAACATAACAAACATTAAAAAAATGTTTAGTAACAAAATGTTTTTATAATATTAAGGATTATTACTAGGTAACATAATTATATATTATGTATATGTATGTGTGTTATGTGTATGTATATTTTAAATTGTGTTTTGTCCACTACATGTATCTTGACATATCCTACATCATTGTATAGTGATTAAAAAGGACCAATTAAGATTTATTATTATTAAATTTTCATAAAAATCGAAGACCAAAAATTAGTATAGAAACTCAAAATAAAGTATATTTTTAAGTTCATATTTCATTCAATTGCATTTTATGTTCTGAATTAAATTAATAATAAAATTAGCTTTTAAATGAAGTTTTACAATTTACAATAATAAAAATAATAATTACAAGTAATAATATTTACTTGGAACTTACACTAACAAGTTTTGAGTATGGTTTTACTTGGAGATTTTTTTACTTTTTCTTTGTTGATGAAGGGGTACTTCAAATAATTAAAAATAAAACTCAAATGCTGTTCAAAATCAAATTTTATTAACTATCGGTCAATTAATAAATACAATACATGCAAAAATAATTACCAAACAAAAAAGAAAAATTAACAGAATTTCCATCTATTACCACATTCATTACACAAAACAAACGTGGTCATAGGTTCATCTGATGATCTGGTCTGCAACTGATTGTATGTGCAATTCCTCTTCTTGCATTTACCACATTTAAGCATTTCTGTTTTGGTGCCTTGTACAGTTGCCAATTGTGCATCATTGATAGCTTCTTTAGTGAATTTTGTTCTCAGGTTCTTCACTTCATCATTGGCCATCTCTTCAGCTGTCATTACGGCCAAACGTGCAGCAGATATTGCTCCAATTCTGAAACTTGACCTTAATGTAGGGTTTTTTGGATCTTTAAGATTTGCTATTCGTGATCGTACTCTATTTTTGTATCGCATATCGGTGTTTCTGAATTCTAAGAAGATGGCTTCTTCCAGTTCTTCAGCCAACTCCTCAGGCGGTGCACAACCTGAAAAGAAATAATAAAAATGTTGTATCTATAGTTTGTGCATGAAACAGAGCCTAATGTATGTGTCCCAACAATTTTAAGCTAAGAATCTCTCTCATTTGACACAAGTGTTAGTAGAAGTGGATTGTTAGAATATAAATCAGTTCAACTTGTTTTGTTGATACATGTTGGTAAAAATGAGTTCTCATGAATTAAATAATACTTAAGTAGTGATTATTTTAATGGAGAGAAAGGATTAAGCTTTTTTGATTTTCCTGTCTGCATACAAATAAGGAAAGTATATGAATCATGATTTTTTATAACTATTTCTAATGCAATTATGTTATAGATCAGATAAATCGTACTTAAATAATATATTTTTGATGAAGTATGCTGTCTAATATGTATTTAAACTTACCTTCAAAATCTTCATCCATAGAATCAGTTTTAATAGCAACTGCAAGCATTTCCCTACACTTCAGCCTCACAGAATCTGTAGTATTTGAACTAGCTGGAAACTGTTTAGGCAGAGATTTTTCCTTGTCTCTATCATCTCGAGATGGTTTTTCTTCCTTATCTTTTTTTGGTTTATTGGAACTACTACTACTACTAGATGATTTTTCATTTGAATTTGTTCCAAGAAACTTTTTCCAATTTTTTATCAAAGTTTTTGATAGGCTTATGACTTCCTCGTCTTTACTCGACTTTCGCAAAGCGTTTACAGTCATTCCTATGCGGGTATTAGTCAACACTTCCAAGTTAATATCTAATGTTTGTAATTCTTTTAAAAGATCCAATGCCTGTTCTTGTCCCTAAAATTAAGCAATTCAATGTCGCTGAAAGTGAGAATGTATCTAAAACCAATCGAAGATTAGGAATAGGTTACATATATTTGTGTTGCGATAGAAAAGAACGAAAATTTAAAATAGATTTTTAAGAATTTGAGATGTTTTAATTTTAAAGCGATACATACAGTTCCATCTTCCGACGTCATCTTGTTTAATTTCTTTTGGATCCTCATCACTTCCTCTTCGACACTCATTTTTCTAAACTAATTTAAACAATAAATAATTATTAAAAGTATTTATTTAATTATCTATCTTGTATAATAGATTTGGAGGGACGCTTCCTCCTTTTTTAATGCCGATGTGGTGGTTATTGCTTTACTGTCAAACGTCAAACAGACTTCATCACAGAATTTCAAACGTCGCATGATCAGTTTAGCCATCAGAAAAAAATAAAACACTCCAACTTCAGACTAGATGAAAAATACCCAAATTTTAGATTCCTTTTTGTAAAATGATTTTGTAATGTAAGATTATTAAGAAGTCGAAGTCTTCATATGTAAGATGTACGTCAATTTTGTAGATCACTGATTTATACAATAATTATCCGATGTACACGACATATCGGGACATTTGGCAACACTGCACCAAATTGTGCGTGAGACCATCGTGAGACCTTACGCATGGGGTAGTGCAATCGAAAACGCTAATTGAATAAGTGTTCTGTGCGTTACTTCACCTGTCTTGCCAACTTCTTTAATACTTAACCTTACTTTTTTTGTCGTTTGTTTGTCTTGATTGATTTATTTTCTTGTAAAATTAAAATTATTGTTTAGTTTACGATCAAAATGAATACTACAGCTGCGATTATCTGTATAGGTGATGTCGTTTAAGAACTTTTACTGGGACACGAATCGGGAATTCACTTCACTTTAATGGAATATGGATTTTACCATAAACAGAAATATAGAAGTAGCATCGACCAATGTGAAATATAACAATTCCACAATATGAAGTTGTTTATAGATGCATTCATAGGGCTGGCTTCAGACCAAGTGGAAAATTAATTAAAAATAGTAAGTAATATGTTGATTATATGTACCTAGCAAGTAGTGGCAAAAAAGCTTAAATCCAGCTTAAAATTGTCCAATAATAAGTAGGGCTTGGGAGTTAAAGAAATAAAAAAAGCTCTTCTAGTAGTTTGTACCTTATGTTTATGTATTGTTTGGAGATGACAAGCAAAAGAAAGTCATATATTAACATGGCTGCCACCGAAAATATTGCTAGGAATCTTCCTTGGGTTAGGAACATAAATTGTTTTTATTGTAAAATATTAAAAATAAATTTATTAAAATCTTCTCTATCCCTTTATTGAGTTTACAAATTTTTATTTTTGCCACAACTTTTTTAATATTGCTGTTAGAAAAAGACAGTGTATTTTTGAGATCTACATGTGACTCTCTATCCCTATGCAAATTTAAACAATATTTTATTATTTCAAAAAAATCGAAAGGGTATAGCCTTCCAAATTTTTTGACAAAAAATATTTTTGTCTCTGATCTTGATGAAAATTGGGATACATATAGAAGAAAGCAGGAGCAATTAAGGGGTGAACTCAGTTGCTCCCTAGCTATAAGGGTTAACTTTTTTTCTTTATTCCTCAGTTAATAATGATCGAATTATTCCGTAAATTCACAAAAAGATGGAGCCGGACGGATAGTTTATAATGCTCTTTGTCGCTGGTCTCTATGTTGAGTCGTTTAATAGTTATTCAAATATTAGAACGTTTGTAGTTGACAGGCAACACAGAATACACTAATATGTAATACTGGTTGCCTATGTTTACAAGAGCCATCTATTAGCGACTAGATAAGACAGCTACTTGCCAACAGATGGCTAAAAACTAAATATAGGCAACCAACATTACACATTGGTGTATTCTGTGTTGCCTTTCAACTATAAGTTTATAATATTCTACTGTTTAATAACGAAAAGCTTTTGATTTAGGAAATAAAAAAAAACAAAAAAATTAATCGCTTAGGGATTATTTTATGTAAAAATAATGACAATTACTGAAAATGGATACTTGCTTGTATTTTCTACCCTGAGTTGGATCTCGTCGAGTTTAGAGCGGTTTAATAAGGCTACTGGAGTAAAATATTAAAAATAAATTTATTAAAATCTTCTCTATCCCTTTATTGAGTTTACACACACAGTCATCATTGTGAATATAGTCGAAACGCATTCAGGGAACCCCAAAACATAAAAATCTGTTGAAAACTTTAATTTTTGTTTTGTTTTAGATATTCCTGATTATGAAGATTTTGGAATGGGTACTGCAACTACGCTGGACTGAAATAGATGGATAAAAGGAAAATAGAGTGGTTAAGTACCAGAATTACCTAACCGATGAAATGTCATGATGACAGTCTTGGTATATTATTTTAAAATCAATTGATTGATGCACTAACAATGTCTTTTTTCAAAAGTGAAGATTACAAATCAGGATACATTAAATATTTAAAATTTTTGTGTAGATTATTGTGTATTTTATTTCTATAATTGTTAATTACGAATCTCTTTAGCCTAAACAGATTTCATAAAAATTAAATTTTATTTTGTTTTACTGTAATTTATAAAAGCTCCAACTTTCAAATTTGTTACTTTTATCTATATAAAAGCTGCTTATTCATTTTCAATCAATAATTATTATTTTGTATAAATAAGCATTTAAGTTAATCCATTATTTGAAAGAAAGATTTATTAGGTATAGTTGTATTTGTTTATCTTCAATTCATTTGTGTTTCATAGTATAAAAAAATAATGTGAATAAATAAATAAAACCTGTTATAATAGATATATAATGGTGTAAATAGAAATATTCTAATAAAATATACATACTAAGATTGTGTTTTATTTAAACTATCCACTTTGAATCATAATTAATTACAAACAGATTAAAAATGGCAGACAAGATTTATAAAGCAAATAATATTTAAAATCTTGTAGATAGAAAATAAAGGACTTCGCCTCGTAATTTCTTGTGCTTTCATGTATATGTATACACATTTTCTGCGTTTCAAAACTACCTCCTAAAATACCTACTCGCTCTTCTGTTATCCTGATACCAAAATTTTATTAACGAAATTGATTTTTGTATTCACAGTCAAAAATACGTCGAATTACGTTACCCCAAATTATACGATTATTTGATTATGGAACTATATTTTCATGCAAAATACCTTGTCGCTTTTCTATTATCCTGATACCATAATTTTATTGATAAAATTGGACTTTTCGAATTCGGAACTTTGTATCAGGATAACAGAAAAGCGATGTGGTATGGAAAAATTTTATTTTTGCTAGGATCTTTATGAAATTTGGCACAACGTTACAGTATTTAATTTAAAATGTCTGGCAGGTGTCTGCTTCGCTCTATCTTCGATACTTTTTGCTAAATGAGTCACAACTTTTTTAATATTGTTGTTAGAAAAAAAACTGAGTACATTTTTGAGCTCCAGGGGTTGCATTCTATGCGTATGCAGATTTTAAACCTTTTTTATTTAAAAAAAAAAAAACGAAAGGGTATAGCCTTCCAAATTTTTTGACAAAAAATATTTTTGTCTCCGATCTTGATGAAAATTGGGGTACATATAAAAGAAAGCACGAGCAATTAAGGGGTGAACTCAGTTGCTCCCTAGCTATAAGGGTTAACTTTTTTTTCTTAATTCCTCAGTCAATAATGATCGAATTATTCCATAAATTCACATGAAGGTAGAGCCGGACGGATAGTTTAAAATGCCCTCTGCGGCTTGCCTCTATCTTGAGCCGTTTAGTCGTTATTCACATTTAAAAATAAGTCAAATACCTTGTCGCGTTTCTGCTATCCTGGTACGAAAATTTTGAGACAAAATTGGATCTTCTCGAATTCGGAACTTTGTATCAGGATAATAGAAACGCGAGGAGATATCGAAATTTTTTATTTTTGCCACAACTTTTTTAATATTGCTGTTAGAAAAAGACTGAGTGTAGTTTTGAGATCTACATGTGACCCTCTATCCGTATGCAAATTTAAACAATATTTTATTATTTCAAAAAAATCGAAAGGGTATAGCCTTCCAAATTTTTTGACAAAAAATCTTTTTGTCTCCGATCTTGATGAAAATTGGGGTACGTATAAAGGAAAGCACGAGCAATTAAGGGGCGAACTCAGTTGCTCCCTAGCTATAAGGGTTAACTTTTTATTCTTAATTCCTCAGTTAATAATAATCGAATTATTCCATAAATTCACATAAAGGTAGAGCCGGACGGATAGTTTAAAATGCCCTCTGCAGCTTGCCTCTATCTTGAGCCGTTTAGTAGTTATTCACATTTAAAAATAAGTCAAATACCTTGTCGCGTTTCTGCTATCCTGGTACGAAAATTTTGAGACAAAATTGGATCTTCTCGAATTCGGAACTTTGTATCAGGATAATAGAAACGCGAGGAGATATCGAAATTTTTTTATTTTTGTCACAACTTTTTTAATATTGCTGTTAGAAAAAAACTGAGTGTATTTTTGAGATCTACATGTGACCTACTATCCGTATGTAAATTTAAATTGTTTTTTATTTTTTGAAAAAATCGAAAGGGTGCCTTCCAAATTTTTTGACAAAAAATTTTTTTGTCTCCGATCTTGATGAAATTTGGGGTACATATGAAAGAAAGCACGAGCAATTAAGGGGTGAACTCAGTTGCTCCCTAGCTATAGGGGTTAACTTTTTTTTTCTTAATTCCTCAGTCAATAATGATCGAATGACTCCATAAATTCACACAAAGGTAGAGCCGGACGGATAGTTTAAAATGCCCTTTGCTGCTTGCCTCTATCTTGAGCCGTGTAGTAGTTATTCACATTTAAAAATAAGTCAAATACCTTGTCGCGTTTCTGCTATCCTGGTACGAAAATTTTGTAGACAAAATTGGATTTTTCGAATTCGGAACTTTGTATCAGGATAATAGAAACGCGAGGAGATATCGAAAATTTTTATTTTTGTCCAACTTTTTTAATATTGCTGTTAGAAAAAAAACTGAGTGTATTTTTGAGATCTACATGTGACCTACTATCCGTATGTAAATTTAAATTGTTTTTTATTTTTTGAAAAAATCGAAAGGGTGCCTTCCAAATTTTTTGACAAAAAATATTTTTGTCTCCGATCTTGATGAAAATTGGGGTACATATAAAATAAAGCAATTGGAATTAAGGGGTGAACTCAGTTGCGCCCTAGCTATAAGGGTTAACTTTTTTTTTCTTAATTCCTCAGTTAATAATGATCGAATTATTCCATAAATTCACATGAAGGTAGAGCCGGACGGATAGTTTAAAAGGCCCCTTGCCGCTTGCCTCTATCTAGAGCCGTTTAGT